GACAAAAGTTGTAGAGTTTTGAGGGGGACATAAGATGATAACATTGGTTTGACCCTGAGTAGCGTCGTCAAGGTCAGGACAAGATCACTTTGAATTTTTTAAATGGAACCCTCCATTTTTCGTTATATTCTTATAGCTTATTTCGAGAGCTTTTTAAAACACATAGATAAAATGTTTTTTGGTTAAGTAAATCTCGAGTTATAAAGCTTGAAAGTTACAGTACCACCGGCATTAGCATTATCTAAGGTGTCCAAACAATGACTGAAATTTTTTTAATATTATTCAGAATCATGATTTTGACAACATGTGTCAATCCCGTGATTATTGGAGATTGTTTCTCTTATTTTCATTTTTGAAAATTATTTTTATTTTGTGAAAACAAAGAGAAACATCCTCCAATAATCATGATCTTGACACATGTTGTCAAGCTCATAATCAAAATAATAGTATATACTCAAAATAATAGTGGTTAACTTTGCCATCTCTGGATGTGCAGTGTTGATTTTACTCATATAAAACCGGGCAATGTCGTATTTTCAAAGGCGTTATGCAAAAAGGCGCCGTTTTATATAATCAGCTTTTTTTTGCACAACGCCTTTGAAAATAACGACATTGCCCGGTTTTATGTGAGCAAAGTCAACACTGCTCATCCAGCGATGGCAAAGTCAGCCACTATTATTTTATTGCGGATTTAGCTCGGTTATTCAATAAAGTATACCTTCGCGCTAACACTTTACAACGCAAAGCGAGACCCCACATGGATTTACAACTTTTTACGCGAAGCGAGGTCCACCCCACACCAAGAAATGGTTTGGGTTAGTTTTTTTTAGGTGGAGTCCCTCCGTAGGGAGGAAAACATACTGCCTTCACGCATGTATTTTAAACGGCGTCTACAATAGGCAGTAGTAGTAATGGATTAAAGAGTAAGCGTTAAGAGTAAACTATAGGATTAAAGTCTCCTTATGTCTGAGTATCTACAATGACATAAATTGAAAAGTTATAATAAACCAATGTGAAAATTGCATCGATTTCTATTGCGCGCGTTTCGTGTTACTGCTGAGCTCTCATTGGCTGAGAGTAAAAAAGTAGCCGTAGGAAATGGATTTTAACTATTTTGTTTAAGGTCCATCTACACATTAAATAATCAGAGTCGAATATGAGATGAATAATCGACTGTGATTGGTCAATTTCTTACGGCTTACGACCCACTATTCTCATTGTAGATGGACCTACGGACTTATTTTACGCCCTATTACACCGAAAAACCAGCTTACTCCAATGTGTTACTTCTTAATCTATTACTGCTACTGGCCATTGTAGACGCCGCTTTACAATGCGAAGCTAGTGATCCACATGGGTTTGTAATGAATATTATGCAAAAAGGCTGATTATACAAAAAGACTGCGACGTATATATAATATATATATATATAT